GAGGGCAGCGGAGAAGAAGCAGAGGGTGGTGGAGGAGGAGAGGGGGAATGAAGTTCCTGAGTTCGTACCTCAGCCTCTTCCTGTTGAGCTGAACCCTGAGCTCAGACGGTTGGAGCAGGGGGCTGAGGTACGAGCTCCTGGCAAGGGAAAGGGCCCCATTCCCCCACTGGGCCTCAGAGCAGCCTGTTCGAGGCAAAGAACATAACGGGGGCGAGGTGGTTCATCAACAACACCTTCCCCGAAGTGGACCGAAGCTACGCGCGGGAGGAAGCTCTGAGGCATGATGGAGCGTCTGTGGTGAGGCACGCTCTAGAGGTATGTTAAATTAGTAATGTTGTGTAGTTAAGCTGTGTCATCTTCTCTTCTTCCTCTCCTAACCTCGGTTTTGATTTGCAGAGCGCGAGTTGGGTGAATGGTCTAGCCTAGGAATTCAGGGAGAGCCTGAAGGAGCGGGGACTCTTGCAGAGGTAGTATGACCAGCTGCAGAAGGAGAAGGAGGAGCTGGAGAAAAAAAACAAAGAACTGCAAGAGTCTCTAGATGAGGTGGTTCCAACTGTGAAGCAGTTGGAACAGGAGAGGTCGTCCCTGGGCACCAAGCTCGGCTTTGAAGAGACCAAGCGAAAGATCTCTGAAAGCGAGCGTGAAGCTCTGGCACAAGAATTAAAGCTGACGAAGGAGGCTTTCTTGGAGCTGAAGGGGAATGTGTAGACCCTAGTGCACAATGGGATGAAGGAGCACATCGGCAACTTCATCAGCTCCAGCTCGTTTGACAACATCGTCAACTTATACCGGCTGCCTACTGCCATCATCGCATTCACGGACTGCAGGAAGAAGGTGAAGGCCGAATATCCCGAAGTGGATATTACGAAGATCACCTTCGGAGAGCAAGAAGAAGGAGTGGAGGAAGATGGTGAAAGCATATCAGCAGATTTTCGTCCTCAGATCAAACTGAGGTGGGAGGATGATGCAAACGGACGTGCTGTTTTCCCTCCACAGCTCGACTTCAAGTTCGTGGCAGTGGAGGATGAAGGGGCAGAGGTAGAGGGAGACGAGATGGAGGCAAGAGTGGAGGAAGCTGAAGTGGGTGAGAGCCAACCCGCTCCAGAAGTGGAGATTCATCCAGTTCCCTCCGACGATGAGCAGCCTCCTCTGCCAGACGAGCAGCAGCCAAGACAGCCACCTCTTCCAACCGAAGAGGAGCCAGTGGAGCCACCTCCTCCAGCGGAGAACTAATTTTGATTTGTTGTTTTTAATTTTTTGTAGAACATTTAAACAGTTGGTAACACTTTTATTATGTTTAATGAAATTATGTATTTGTTTATGTTTGGTTTATATTTTTGTTATGTTTTATGAATGAAAGAACTGAGAGTATTTGAGACGAATTAAGAAGAATTAAGAAGAAGTAATTCACTTCAGACGAGTTAAGAAGAAGTAAGCCACTTCATATGAATTAGGAACAAGTACAGCATTGCGAACAAATTAAAAGCAGATAAAGCACTTCAAATGTGAAGTGACATTTATTAACAGAAGGGAATGAACTGATTGACCTCAGATACATAGAATAAGAGGTAAAATGATTTTCAATAAACGCGAAGTGAAAAGCGTAAAGAACAGTAAGACATAGATTGCTTAGAAGACTTTCATTAGGGGTAAAATTTCTTCAAGTTATTGATATTCCAGACTCTAGGAACTCTTTTTCCTTCAACGTCTTGGAGGACATAGGCACCAGGATGTGGCACCTCGGCCACGGCATAAGGGCCTTCCCAGTTCGGGGCGAGTTTGCCAAAACGAGTTTCAAACCCCGTTAGGCCAGCTTTTCTGAGAACAAGGTCTCCTACTTTGAAAGTTCGAGGGCGGACCCGTTTATTGTAGAAGTTGGCTAGTTTCTGCTTGTATACAAGAGTTCGAAGCCGAGCTTCTTCTCCGACTTCAGCAAGCAGATCAAGGTTTTCCCGAAGCAGTTGTCCATTTCGTGCTTCATCGAAATGGGTGACCCGGAAGCTTGGGACTCCTATCTCAACAGGAATGACTGCTTCGGTACCAAAGGCCAAGTGGTAGGGTGTTTCACCTATTTCAATTGATTAGAACTTTAGAATGCGCTTTATGCGTTATGCATATTTGTTCTAAGGTAAGGCGTAACAGAAGAAGTAAAATAATATAGAAATTGACCAAATAGACTCGGTTCAGTGTAGTACCTGTGGTAGTTCGGCTCGTGGTTCTGTATGCCCAGAGCACGTTGTTGAGCTCGTCTGCCCATTTGGCCTTATGATGTTCCAATCTCGGCCTTATACCTTCCAGAATGCATTTGTTAACAGATTCAACCATGCCATTGGACTCCGGATGATAAACAGAGGTGAACTGTAACTTGATCCCATAACTGGAACAGAAATCGCGGAATGAGGAGCAATTGAATTGAGTTCCATTATCAGCCACAATCTGATTTGGGATCCCATATCTGCAGATGATCGAGCTGAAAACAAAATCTTTGACCTTCTTAGAGGTAAGACTAGATAAAGGCCGAGCTTCAACCCACTTTGTAAAATAATCCACACCAACAACCATATGGGTTACACCACCAACCCTTTTCACGAATGGGCCTAAAAGATCCAGTCCCCACTGAGCAAATGGCCACGGTGCTACCATGTTTGTGAGTTCTTCTGCTGGTTGGTGAGTCAGATGTGCGAAGAATTGGCATTTCGGGCATTTCTGAACAAAGTAAGTGGCATCTTTGTATATGTTTGGCCAGTAATATCCTTGCCTTAAGACCTTGTGAGCCAGAGTCCTGGCACCGACATGGCTCCCACAGATACCTTCATGTACCTCTCGAAGTGCATATTCAGCTTCATAAGGGCTTAAACACCGTAGAAGAGGGAGTGAGAAAGATCTCTTATATAGGACCCCATCAACGAGTGTATATCGAGATGCTTTCTTCCTCAATTTCATTGCCTCCTGCCTGTCCTCAGGTACGATCCCATCTTGTAAAAAGGAGACAATCGAATCAATCCAGCTCGGCATGTCGGGGTTTGTGCTAATCTCCATCACCCGAGGCTTCGTGAAGCTTGGTTCGTCTAAGACTTCTACAAAAACAGATCTGGAACTTAAAGAGCTATCAGAGGCAAACTTGGAGAGTGAATCTGCCTGTTCGTTCTCAGCTCGGGGGATTTTACTCAGACAGAATTTCTGGAATTTGCACTTCAGCTCGGCCACCAAGGCTACATACTTCATCATCACAGGATCAACCACTTCGCAAATAGAGTTGATTTGGTTCACCACCAGCTGGGAGTCACTGTACACTTGAATTGCACTGATTTTCAACTCTAACGCTAGTTGTAGGCCGAGTAGCAGAGCTTCATACTCAGCCATATTATTTGTCGCATCAAAGTTGAACTTCAAAGCATGTTCACTTCGATAACCGTCTGGACCAATCAAGAGAGCACCATCCCCTGAACCCTTGCTACTAGATGCTCCATCAACATATAAGGTCCATTCGTTGGGTTTTGGAGTAGAGGTTGAGGGACATGGGGTGCATTCAACAATAAAATCTGCTAATGCTTGAGCTCGGATGGCCGACCTCTGCTGAAACGTGATCTCAAACTCCCC